ATTGTACGGGGCATCTGTATCGGCGCCTTATCGGCCGCGCAGGCCGGGCAAGTCCGGACGATGTATTTCACATCTTCCCGGATTCCCGACCAGTACCATCCGTTTTTCTCTATTGCTTTTTCCGTGTATTTGACTGCAAAGTGGACCGCATCCTCCTCGTGGGCGGCTCGTGTCCAATCGAACCTGGCCTGCGGGTGTGGAACCGTCAGCCAACTAGATCCGTCGACGTCATCATCTTTTCGTTTTTGAAGGATGGATCCCTGCTAGCGGTAATCGTGCGCCCGTTCTGTGACACGTCGCCGTTCAGCCTTGGTAAGTTCCGTCAGCGGGTCGCCTGTCAGTCTCCGTAATAGCAGAAGATCCGTCCAGACTTCCGCTCGTCGGACACTTGGCAAAAATCCATCTGCCGTTCTGGCTTCTAGATACCGTTTTTCCGTAGGTACGTGGTCCGTTCGACAATTGGGACAGTTCTAACTTTTTTCATTCTAATACCGGGCACAACTCCCGTGGGACCGGACGATGTGACATTGACTACATTGTACCCAGGGAAGAAAGTTGGGCCCCTCGAGAGGAGGATCTCCCCCTGCCGGTATCATGGGCAAGGTGCAGAAGAAACAGATTTGGGAAGGCGTGCTCGGAGGGGAGTCGGGGTCAGGAGAGGGGGTTAAAGAATAGGGAAGGGGAGGAGGGGTGGCGGCCTCCTCATGGGAGATCGCCATCTCCGATTGCTGCAGTACCCTTGCGGAGGACATTCACCTCCCCGTAGCCGGGTTACGTCGAAGGCGAAATCGGCTTCCACGGGATGAGCTTTTTGTTCGCGGGACTCTTGTTCGGCGGCTGGATACGCGTCAGACCATTGGCGTTCCCGTGCTGCCTGGTGGCGCGGTGGCGGATGTCGAAGTCATAGTCCTGCAATCTCACCACCCACCTTCCCAAGGTACCCGTGTAGTCCGTGTTGTTCCGCAACGATAGCAATGGCTGATGATCCGTCACGAGCACGAACTTCTGGCCGTACAAATACGGTCGAAAGTGTTGAACCCCCTACACCACCGCCAAGCACTCACCCTTGCACGCCTCGTAATTTGACTGCGCCTGACTTAGCATTTTTGACGCATACTCAATGACGTGCTCCCTTCCATCCGTTCCTTGCTGAGTCAGCACTACCGATATTGCCTGCGGCTGCCAGTCGGTATGCAGCGCAAACTGTCTTGTCGGATTGGGACGCGCCAACACGGGTGCCGATGTCAGAGCCTCCTTGAGTGCCCAAAAAGCCGCCTCGCATTCCGCCGTCCAAATCAGCTGCTCCTCCTTCTTCAGCAGGTTCATCAGCGGCTTGGCGAGGCAGGCAAAGCTCCGAATTAAGCGTCGATAATAAGAGGCCAGCCCTAGGAAGGCTCGAACCTGAGTGAGTGCGACCGGGGCCGGGGCTTCTCGGACCGCTGCTACCTTCCTGGGATCCGGTTTCAGTCCCTCGACCATGATGATGTAGCCCAAAAAGGAAATTTCGGACAGAAAGAACTCGCTTTTCTACAGAGCCACTTTGAACCCCGCATCTTTCAATGCATGCAACACCCATTCGACATGTTCCACATGGTACTAGTAGGTTTTGGAAAAGACCAAAATGTCATCCATGTACACAATCACACAAAAATTTATCAACGGCTGTGTGAAATGGGTTTTGTTAACGAACTCGGCGAAGGCCATATTCATGGCCCGCTGGAAAGTTGCGGGGGCGTTGCAAATTCCCATGGGACACCGGATCCATTGCCACGTGCCCTCGAACAGGACAAAAGCTGTTTTGGGCCGGTCTTCCGGTCGGACCGCGACGTGGTGAAAACCGTGTCGGATATCGAACTTCGAAAAGACCCGAGCGGACCCGATAGCATCCAGCAGATCGTCAATCTGCGGCAGCGGATAGACATCTTTGGTAGTAATAGCATTTAATTTGCGGTAGTCGATACACACTCGGACTGAACCGTTTCGTTTCGGCACGAGGACTACGGGAAACGACCATGGTCCAAGCGATGGTTCAATCCACCCCAACCTCTCGAACTCCCGTACCCTTTCCAGGGCCAGCTGTCTTTCCTTTAGGGAATAACGGTACGGTCGACAATGTATCGGCGCGCGATCACCGGTATCAATCGCGTGTTGGATCAGGTGGGTAAGTCCTATATCGTGGTCCTGGATACTGACGACTTCTGGGTAGGCCCGTATAACTGCCAACAGAAGGCGTTTGTAGTCGTCCGGCACATAGGCCGGCAGCCGGACGTCCACATTTCCCTCAGGGAGGGAGATCGTCGACGTAACCATGGGGACTGCCACGTTGGCTTTCAGTGAGGCACCAAACAGAGAATGGTCGGTTTTTGCCGAAAGCACAGTCGCGATAAGTTGACTGTCTGCAGGGCTTATCGGTTCATTTTCCATGTCACTGTCGTTCTCGAGCTCGGTTTCAGCCGAGGGTTCCACTGAAAAGGCCTATATCAGTTCCTTCGGCCTCCATCGATATTCCCTCGTCCGGGGTTGAAATGACACCCCTTCCTTCAAGAGCAGGGCGGCTTTTGCGTTTGTAAGCAGGGGCCTGGGAGGCCGAAAAGTTAAATCGCATAACCCCCTGAGCTCCGTAAACCTTTCGGGTAGGGGGTCCTTCCTAAGGTATAAGGACGCAGGGGGTTCCGAAAGGTCAGTTATTCGTGACACCCTCAGCAAGGGTGCTCCCTGCACCACGGAGGAAAACGCGCGCGACCAATCGGACTCGCTCCAAATTATTTCCAGGGGTTCTCGTCGCCAGGAATGGCGCCACCGATCCTGCACCCGGATCGGATATCCGTCGGGTACATCAGTCTCGTAAGTTTCCGACGAAGTTTCATTTTCGCCTGGTGACAGGCGTCGGATCATGTTGATTTGATGGGCCTTCGTGGTGATTCGAGGCGCCGCCTGGGTGCTCATACGCACCGCCAATCTCATCGGTATCGTTTGTGGTTTGGGGTGGGCCGATGTGAGCACCACCTTACAGCTGTCAAAGTGCATTCGCGCTCCGACCACCGCCTGCCACGGAATGCCTAGCAGAACATCATACGCCTGTACATCCAGTTCGATTGTGTCGCACAAACAATGCACCCGTCCCACCCGTATAGGCAAGTTCGTTATCCGACCTTTACAATGAATGTTGTCCTCCGTAGCGGATATATACAGTTCATCCGGTCGGAGGGGCTGAACCTGTCCTTCCCTTCCCAATCGTTTCGTCAATCTCCACGAAATGGCGACCGCTGACGATCCCGAGTCTAGGATGGCGGCCGAGGGGTTTCCCCAGACCTCGCAGTCACACTCAACGCTTTTCCAGGTTATAGGATAGGCTCGGAGGAACACCTCAGGCTTTTCCGAGGCAGGATCTACGGTTTGGATCATTCCTACCCGGTTGGCTTCGTGCACCTTTGAGGTCGAGGGCTGTGATTCTTCGTTTGTGGGTAGGTCTCGTAGGACCGGCTTTTTGCCCTTTCGACTTTCCTCGAATCGGCGCCTGTTTTTGAGGCATTGTTCGATCAACTTTTCGTTAGACGCCTCGAAAATGGTTAGCAGATAGGGAATAGGGACGGGGATCCGTAGATCCAGAACCTTCAACGCATCCAACACGTCGATGTGACCGTCTTTGTACTCAGGGCCGGGGGCCGTGAGGTCTTTGAACCCCGGCCGCCAAGGCCCGAGGTCGCTTTCCTCGGTAATCCTTTGGACGTGACGTATCACTCCAATGGTCCCGGGTTTGAACATCGCCGCAGCCATATACTCATCGGGTCCTATCTCGGCGGCCGCAGGGGTCACCATTTTCGTTGTTCCAGTATCCATCACAGTGGCTACCCTCCCTTGTCCTGCAGCGGTTGGAGCAGCCAATGGGATTTGAGAAGTTCCGGTGGGCCCCGCGGGCCCACTCTGAGTTCGAGGTTTCGGACAATCTTTTGCAAGGTGGCCCGACTGATTGCAGTTATAGCACCGTAAAGGCTGGGCGACTCCTGCTGCGGCTGGTCGGGTCATAGGGGTACCGACGGCCATGGCAGTTTGTTGTCGTTGTGCAACTGCCACCCGTTGCCGCTGCAAGTTTTGAACGAATTCTGTCAGCGGGGCCACTACCGTGACCAGCTGAGCTACGACCTCTTTCATTGATATTTCGTCCTCGTTCCGGCCTCTTGAGCTTGACCAGAGCGTCGGGAGATCGACGCGGAAGACGAAACTTTCCGATCTGAATTTTTCTTCGCCGACCCTAACCCGAAGCGATCCTCGAACATTCGCGCCGTAGCGGAGTAGCTATGGCGTCGGACACCCGAAGGATCGTCTTCGTCGGACTCCGAATCCAGACCTACATCGTAATTTTCCTTCCCGTACTTAATGGCATACTGAATGAGTTCGGTCAGGGTGTGTTCTATCGGGTTGCATTTCTTGCGGATCTTCTTCCGCAAGCGAGAATCGGACAGTCCCCTAATGAAATCAGTCCGCACCATCTTTTCATCGACCCTGGAGCGTTCAGCTAAGTAAGTAAAACGCTCTGCATATCTGGCCAGGGTTTCCCGAGGCTGCTGCGTATATTCTTTTATCAGGCGAAGGCACTGCCCGGGTGCGATGTGATCGAAACGCTCGAGAAACTTTCATTGGAAGGTTAGCCAATTAGTGTAGGGGTTCTGCCCATACCACTCAAAAGCGGTTCCGGCTAACCTCCCCGGGATTCGTTCTCGGAGCAACTGGTCCGACCAACCTTGGGCTTTCAAGGCGGCTAGCCAGGTGCGAGGGTCGGTATCATCTTCGGAGAAAATAGGAACTTCGGAGGGAGGAGGTACAAAGTACTGGGGATGATTAGTCATCATCGCATGGTTATCGCAGTCGTTTCCACCCCCAATTCCTGGTTCCACCATCGCGAGAGGCGGATCTCGAGCCCGGCCTCTCGCTCGGTTCTGATTCCTATTCGCGAGCCGTCGGCGACGGGGAGCCAGCCTACTCAAAAGTGAGACCAATCTAAAAAAAAAAAAAAAAAATCAGAAAGGAAAAACTCTTAAACAGGGTAATCGTCCTAGGAAAACCTCGGAGCCGAAACGAATCAGCTCTGATACCAACCTCACGCCCCCTCGCGACTTCCCGTACCGGGTCGCCGATCAAAGTTATAGGAGGGGTGTGGCCGAGGATTTTTGGCCGCAGGGGTTGAGTCTCCCGGTCGGAACGGGAGGCTCTCGTTTCGAACCAGAGGTTATCCCGGGATCGATCTTTCGCCACTGAATCCCGGGGAGGTCGGGTCAGTCCAGGGTAACGAAAACCGAATAGTTCCGCAAGGACGAGCTGCCGTGGTGAATCAAAACGAAGAAGGGTAGTAGGGGGAGGAGGCCACGATGGCTAGGGACCGAACACCGGGCCGTCAGGTTTTCGTTGTATAGGTGGTTGGTTCGAGGCCTTCAAGCCTCGGCGTCGGACTCACAAAGTCCGTGCGGAAGTTCCCGAGAGGGTGAAGCGGCGGRAGAACTTGCCGATACCCGAATTCRAAATTGCGYGGGCAGCGCCCCCRCATTGCGGGAGAGCTYAGGGAAACGTGYCGCTCCCTCGTAACCCAGGACCAGTCRTYRCCAAGMACAYGAGTCCCCCTGGCGACACCAGYRACAATCAAACTGCGGCCGCCACRTGGCGTGARCGGCCGACCAGGGCAACACARTCAACTCCGTATAAGGCAATATTAGAGTCGGGGAATCGAAACGATCAATTMAGACGAACCCRTCTCCCCTAATACTAAACGCCCGGGGCGGGTCTCGCCAACAGACTTGCTCCGTTCGACKCAAAGCGYGYCGTACATCCGCATCGYAGTAGACGYCGTCGTCATCTGCGATGGGGAAGGCCGGTAACGAGATGGGACGATCGGAGGTAGGCGATGAACACGGGCCAGACCCCGCGCTCCCGGTCATCCGAACCAACACCGTCTCCATGCAACACTCGATGCAACCCTTCTCTCGAGGTTAGTGCGTCGGCAGAAGATGGTGAAATCTAAGTTTTCTTCCCCGTCGCGGGGGCGTCGACCGCGCGCGCGGACGCCGGCGGTTGACGTCGCCGGTGCAGGGACGAGAAGTTCAAAAGCGATGACTACCAGTTCAAAAAGAGAGGCGAGAGAGGGAGAGAGAGAGTGAGTTTACACCGAGACTGCGTGGGCGCGCAGGAGGGGCTGCGGAAGGGAGGGGAACAGCGGGATTAACACACTCATACTCCTAAGCAGACGGTCCTCCAGTTCTGTTCCCCCGTCCCCGCCCGGATAAGTACATACACACATACATGCACGCAATCAACAACCCTTGACAGGACATCCAATCATCCATAGACCTTTGACATCACTCATGCGCACAACAAGCTCCCATCACTCGGGGCCTCACACACACGTCATGCAGAGACAAAGCAGCAATGGAGATAAAAGCGAGTCMTTCTTGCRTACAAAAATTCTCAATTAACTGCYGCCCCCAGGCGCAGCCTTCAAAACTTCCCAAGACCACCGACCCCCATAGCCACAAGGCCCTGCCRCGGCCGGCGTCCA